ACTCCTAAATCCTTTTGGACCATGTGAACTAAGAATGACCTGAGCGGATGGGGATGTTTTGGCCATCCGTCATTGATAGCCATATTGATCTGGATGGTGGCTGAGGGCACTGTGTACTGAGGGTATGGCAATTTGCTGAAGTGATGATAACCATCACTGATACCTTTGTGATGGGCTTGATTTCTCATTATGTATTCCCCAGCTATGGAACCCTTGGGCAGTAAGTAACCTGGTTTTAAAAGTACACTTCTAGGTCAAAAGGGTACATCAGTCCTCATACATTATGCTCCTAGGTCACCCTTTTAGCACGTCTAAGTAAAGTACAAAAAAGAGCTTCTCTTTAAGTTTTTATTTTCAAACATTTAAAAACATACAGGAATGTATACCTTCTACCTAGATTCATTAATTGTTAATATTTTGCCTTCTCACGTATATCTATTTACCAATTCAAATAAAGTTTCAGATATCATGAAGTATTTAGTTCAACCCTAAATAAATTCAGCAAACATTTTCTAAAAGTACGGAAATTTTTCTACCTATCCACAATACCATTGTTACACCTAAGAAATTTAACAATAAAATCCAAATATTATTTAATAACCTATCCATATTCAGATTTCTCCATTTGTCCTCCAAATGCCAATAGTGTTTTTTCAAACTAGGATCCATTTATGGTTAATGTGTTACATCTATTTGTTATGTCTCTTAAATCAAAAGAACTTTTTAATGTTCAAAAAGCATGGCATAAATGAAGAAAGAAATACTGATCTCGGATTCTACTATAGACAATTAAAGTGTTTTGTTCACACGCACTCTACCCACTAAAGTCTAAAGCAATTTAGATTCTACCTGATGAAACTCTCACCAAATTTAAATTTGGAGTAAGTCCTCTTTATTACTCTTTTAGGAAAGAATGATTTTCCTTTTTGGGACAAACCTCCTTTTTAATCTGTGCATGGTGACAAGAAGTAAAACTCTTAAAAGACTGCCTGAGATAGATTTTTAAAATTTTATTTTTGATAAATAAAAATTGTACATATTTAAGGTATACAACATGATGTCTTGGTATATGTATACACTGTGAACTGATTACCATAATCAAACGAATTAACCTATATTACTTCTATAGTTACCTTTTTTTTTTGTGGTGAGAAGACTTGAGATCTACTCTCTTAGCAAATTTCAAGTATATAATACGTTACTATTAACTATAGTTGTCAGGCTGTACATCAGGTCTCCAAACTTGATTCATTTATAACTGATATAGGTATTTATGTATTACTAAGTAGTCAGGGAAAATTGAATGGCCATATTAGTGCAAGGAATACATTATGAATATGGTGAAAAATCAAAGTCGTGAGTGACATCATTTCAAAAGTAGTATTTAGTTCTAAAAGTTGATACATAGGTCAGTGGTTTGGTTTTGCATATAGTGGCAGCTGGCTCACTTGGATTAATATAGGAAGCAAGTGATAACAAGTGTAGTAGAATTAGAATGTGTGATAATAAACACAAATGTAATGAAATATATTTTCTATGTATGCAAACAACCCTTGTTTTTCACCTGTGGTTTCATAAAGATGTTTCTTAAAGGTAGACGACAACTCTCTGCTGTTGTCTTACGTATTACAAAGAGCCCAGTAGAGCACTGTGTGTTTACACAGTGGACACTCTGTAAATGTTAATTGTTGATATACAAACCTCCTTTCACCCTTTGATGGGATCTCTAGATAAAAGAAGGCAATAACGTTGACGAATTATGTAAGAGGAAAAAACACTAAAGGGCCCCAGGAAGATAATATAATTTTACAGTGGTTACTGTAACTTACATTGGGGCTTGAAAGTGTTTCCACTTATTAATGCACTTAATTCAGCATATGTTTAAGAATTTTTGATGTGCCAGGTGCTGTGTAGAGGCGTTACATTAAAAACAACCCTTTTATCACGGAAAACTTCAAATGTTAACAAAGGTAGAGAGAATAGTAGAGTGGATCCCTATGTACCCCTCATTCAGCGTCACTAAATTATAACATTTGGCCAGTCTTGTTTTGGCCTACTATTTGGGAGGAGTGGTGGTGAAATACGTTAAAGCAAGTCCCAGGTATCATGACATTCATATATAATGTAAGTACTTCTCTATGAATTAAACTGTGAAGGCTTATGAAGACTATGAGCTTTGGATTTCTAAAACATTTTGACTAGAGATAGATTAGTAACTTTAAAAGAATCAAACCCTATAGTTAGTACTTTATCATTGACCAATATTCATTTAATAAAGATATTTGTTCCATAGCGAAGTTGAATAGTTTGGAAAAGCATTATATCTTTATCTGAAGCATGAAATGATGAAATACGAATGATAAGTATTTTCATAGAGCTCAGATTATAAAATAGTCATCAACATATATTGAGTTAAATAATGTAGGTTGTGGTTTTATGAATATATATGTGTGTGTGTCTATCTATCTGAAGAGAACAGCATTAAATTTAAGATACACATACACACACACACACACGCAATGGGGAAATGGTTTATAAGTCTTTCAGGTACACACTGTTCTCTGTCAAGTCTAGGAAAGATAATAATGCAGAATTCCTATATAATTTGTCATTTTATGATGAACTTGTGATCCAGAAAGAAGTCAAGAATGGTTTGATTGGAGACAATTAGGAAAAGAAAAAGAAGCAAAGGCTCAAGCAAGTTTCTACTCAAGTAAGGTAACTTTTAAGGGTAAAGGTAGAAGAGGAGGGCCCTGTTTGCTCACCCTTTGCTGTGCTTCCATCGTGTCCTGAGATAGGCCCATGGATGGGTTCCCTGCATTGTCATACTTGCATACAAAGCCTACATCTGAGTTTGTACTTCTCCTTGAATTCTAGTCCCTTATTTTGTAATAGAATCTTAGAGTGTCAAGCAGAAAAGGACCTGAGAAAATATCTGGTCTAACTAACTCCCTTATTTTAGAGAAAGAATGCTGAGGCCCAAGTTTCAGTGACTTGCAAGCCAGCAGAATGAGGACTATAATCCAGGTTTCCTGATCGCTAGGCTAGTGGTTTTCTACTTCACCATGTAGCCTCTCCACGTTGTTTCATATTCATAGGTAGTTCAGTCTTAAGGTAAATGAGATAACCCTCTGGGGACTCAAATATGTACAAGTTTTCCTAGAATACCACTTGAAAATGATTAGAACAAACATTTCCCCTGGCCTAATGCAGAACACACCACCCTTTCAAGTAAAGATGTAGTTCGCTTGCAATAGTGATGTCTTTACTTTATAAATGTGCATATAATTTCACACTTTTTAGATAGCCTGACTTTAAGAATGGTTACTTACTTTACTGTAAGAATAGTTTGCACAACCTGCACTCTTGTGTAACGCTGACTATTGCATAGGCCAAGCAATTCGTAAGTGAATTTAGCTAATCAAAATGGTGGCACACACACAGAGACACACACAGACACACGCACACACACAGAGTAAGCTCTATAATGGAGGTGCTAATTACCAGTAATTCTGTTTGCCTGGGAAAGTCAGGGAAGGCAGTGTCATGAACCTGACATTTGACATTTGAGCTGAGTCTTGACGTATATATTTTGCCAGGGATATGTGGGGAAGAGTGTTGCCGGGAGAGGAAACAGCATATGCAAAGGCATGGAGGCATATTTTGTTTAGAAAAGAGGGAAATCCTTTGACCCTAAGAGTGTCAGTTGGTTTGGGGCACTCTTGGAGTTTGGGTCTGTTCTAGATTAAGTAGAGTATGGTGATCACTAAGCCTTCTCTTCCTTGCCACATCAGCCTGCCCAGCGTTCTTCCCTGCACTCTCACTTGGTTCTCTCCAAGAGCAGATGGGGGTCTTGGGCAACTATCACCAGCTTAACCTCTTGACATCCTTAAACTCAGTGTCGCTTGGATTCTGTTCAGATCCATCTTCACTGTCTAATCTCTTTGCACTCGACCTACTGCAGTGGTTTTCATGTATTATGGGTAGGGCATAGAAGTAATCTCAATATAATTTTCTTAACAATTACTCAGAATTCTCAAAAAATATACCCAATAACATTATTACAGTTTCCAGTGTTATTACCATATGGTGTAATGGTTAAGAGCATTGGAATCAGACTTTGGTTTGAAACCTGCTATGTTACTTACTAGATTTATGACCTTGTTTGGGAAGCTTATTTAAGATCCAAGAGTGTGTTTCTTCAAATAAAGCATTCAGTCCTGGCATGTTGTAAATCCCCCTCTCCCCCCAGAAAAGTAGATTTTCAGGACGATTCTGATGGGGCCCAAGTGAGATACTGAAGAAAAAGAGAAAAGCTGCACAATACGGTATTCATCTGTACTTGGGCGGTTCTGTGAATGTTTTACGAAGACTTTTTTCATATGTCTTTTCTGATTTTCAGCTCCACTTTGGGCAGTTCAAGGTTAGGGACTATTTTTTCCTTCTGTTTGTTTTTCTCTCTAGCAGTTAAGGCTGACTGTACAGATGAATAAGCCATATAAATATGTCCTGGACTTAGCTGATGTCCTGGACTTCCCAGGGCATCCTGGATGTGACTCTGACCTTTCCTCTCCCACTGGAGCCATTCTTGTACAGATTTAATTCCATGACAGCAGGTGCCTTAGAATTCAACCTTGTGCAAGTCCTGAGGCTTTGGAGTATGACATTGGATATTTGTGTGTGTGTGTGTGTGTGTGTGTGTGTGTGTGTGGTGTATACACATATATGGTTGTATATACACACATACATACACATACTATCACACACTTAGAATTTCCTACATATGTAGAATTAGTTCAGCATTGGTGTTAGGTTAGGGAGAAAATGATGAAATGTTTGTCTTTTGCCTAAGCTGTGGAGGCTGGGCTTTGTACCAATTAAAATGATAGTCATTTTTCTCTTCTGTAAGATATCTCAGAAGTTGCACTCTTATCTTTCTTACTCTAATGTTAAGTACCCAAATAAAATATTTTCTCAAATAATCCCCTTTATTTCTATAGGGCTTTGAAATGTACAAGTCTCTTGAATATCCATTAGCTGGCAGAAGTGCTAAATCCATGCTGATGAACCAGCGAATGAGTTCCAGTGACTACTCGAAACAGACCTATAAGGTAGGCAGAACAAATGTTAGTATTTGAATGTCATTATTCCCATTTCATACATAAGAAAACTGAGAGCTATTGAGTTAAACCACCTTGCTCAGAGTCATGCAACTAATAAGTGGCACAGCCAGGACTCAGCTTAGGTCTTCTGATTCCCAAATCAGTGCACTTTCTACTACTATCATTCATTACAGGAGAAACATTTTAAAAAACTCTAGTACTTAGGGAGAGATTATATTACTGCAATTAATTCTCCTACTTGCACACCAGATAATTGGTGCTTCTAATTATGGCTTATTTGTATATCTCCTCTGTATGATAACCTTTAGACTATATTTAGTCTTAACTGTGAAATACTTCATGCCCCAAGAAATATTATAAGAATGGAGCACAGCTATCGATCAAGTCCAGTGCCTACAAAGCAATACATTCAGTATGTATAAAATCTGTTATCCAGATAGATTAGTATCCATGCTGTCTTCTTAACTAACACCTGTCTCTCACATTTCACTGAAATTACCAGTGAAACTATGACTAATAAAATTGGTTTAGAACCAAAATTCAATAAAAGCAAAGTTAATTATGTTTGTAAGAGAATAAGCATACAGTTAGATCAATATGCAAATTGTGACCTTCAGTGGTCTTTTCTGTCTTCTTTTAAGCCCTTAGTCTTGCAAAGATTAATTTACTACCTAGAACTTCATTTTATGAAGCCACTAGGACTTAGATTACTAGAGTTTTAATTGTTTACACATCAATGACATGTATGTACTATGTGTGTCTCAATCTCTATATCTTTGTGTGGGAGGCTTGTTCTAATAGCGGAAATAGTGCAGGAGGCAAATAAATATGTTCAACTTCATGTTAACAAAAGACCAGACCAACTTAAAAATTTAAGTTCACATCGGCATTTTCTAGGCACCATTGTTTGACACCATGGTCTGCACCGTGGCAAGTACAAAGTTACATAAGACATTTTCTGGCCTCCAAGAATTTACACTCTAGTGGAAGAGATAGTCATGTTCACAAATAAATAAATTATAACTTAGTGTTTGTTAGTTTTTAAATAGAGATGTAAATAAAAGCAATAGAATGGAAAACAGATGGAGAGATTTATTCTATACTTGGGAAGGCTTCACTGAGGAGTTGGCATTTGATCAGATCTTATGTAGGATTTTCATTGGAGGGAGTAGGAAGGCAAGGGTGGGTGGAAGAAATAACAAGAGCAAAGGCACAGAGGACATAATGCAAGCATAACCGGGGAACAGGGACTAGTATCCTCCATCATACTACTCAAGATATGGGGAAACAACATCTGGCCCAGCACCTTCATATCCTGACATTGGGTTAGTTTGCACAATGGTTGATAGATGGATTCTTGAAAGTCATTCTTATGTTAGGAACAGCTGGTAATAACTTACTTTATACAAGGAAGTGACTACAATTACAGAAATATCTCACTAAGCCCACACTAAATGTATCACCAACTTAACTTCCCTTGGATCTCAAAATGTTTGTGGCCACTCTAAGACACCTCCATTTGAGAGCAAGTGTGATGGGAGGAAAGTCAGAGTGGAAGGAGACAGTGGTTGTTACCTTACTGAAGATACGTATCTTATTTTTGCAAATTTTACAAAAACATATGACATCATAAACATATTGCTGGAAGCTTAGGCTTCATTAGTTTTATGGTAAATTAACTTGATCATGATCCTGCTGCTAACCTCCTTTCTGTAAATTAATGAAGTGCTTTTTCCAGAAGTGCTCCTTAAACACCTGCTAATAGGTTAAAGCAGATTTCCCCAGTGTTCCTGAAGATCTTTGAGCATACGGTAAGTCCCCTACATACGAACCTTCAAGTTGCGAAGTTCAAAGTCCAATCACGTAAGCCAGTTCACATGTCTGGCGTACATTGTCACGTGTGTGCATCCTCTACAAGTGGTTGTGCTTTTGTGTATTTTACTGTAGAGTACTGTATAGAGTACAGTAGCACAGTATCTTTATTTCAAGCCCAGGATGTCTGGAAGCAAGTGTAAAAGCAGCGGTGATGTAACTGGTACTGCTAAGAAGTGCCAAGCGCTAAGAAAAGACGAAGAGAGACAAGAGGAAGAAGAAGTAACTGAAGAACTGAAGAGATTCACAACGCAGGAAACGGCAAGGGGATTTTCTTTATTTGAGGAGGCACTGTTAGTTTTTGAGGCATAGGACCCGAACTTAGAACGGTACACGAAGGTTGCAGCAGCAGTTCAGGATGCAATCCAGTGCTACAATGTCATCTATGACGAGAAAAAAAGAGCTACTACCCAGACATCACTGGATCGTTTTTTCGAGAAGGTAGATAGAATTGAATCCTGCAAGGAGACAGAACCTGTGCCATTAACGTCAGGCGTGAGTGAAATTGCACCTTGCCCTCTGTCTCCTGTGGCTGACGATCCTTCAGCTCTACCATCTCCCACCTCCTCTCCCTCCTCCAGTCAGTAACTAACCCTTTTTGCTTGTTCACTCGACGCCAGCCCCTGTATGCCAGCTGTTGTACTGCACTACTGTACTTATCAAGGTACTGGACTGTAAGATTAAAAGTGTTTCCTTGGGCTTCCCTGGTGGCGCAGTGGTTGGGAGTCCGCCTGCCGATACCGGGGACACGGGTTCGTGCCCCGGTCCCGGAGAATCCTACGTGCCACGGAGCGGCTGGGCCCGTGGGCCGTGGCCGCTGGGCCTGCGCGTCCAGAGCCTGTGCTCTGCGGCGGGAGGGGCCCCAGCAGTGAGAGGCCCGCGTACGGCAAAAAAAAAAAAAAAAGTGTTTCCTTTATTTTTTGTGTTTGTTTGTTTTTTATGTATTATTTGTGTGAGAAGTATTATAAACCTATTACAGTACAGTACTATATGGCCGATTGTGTTAGTTGGGTACCTAGGCTAACTTTTTTGGACTTATGAACAAATTGGACTTATGAACGTGCTCATGGAACAGAACTCGTTCATATGTTGGGGAGTTACTGTACTTGTAAACAAAAGCATCTGAGCCTGTAGGTGATATGCAGGAATAAAGCAGGCAGTGAACTCTTAGCTCTCTGTACTCAAGCTACTGAAAGGTTCCATTTGAACCAGTGTAGAAGACAACTTATTTATATTCTTATTAAGAGTGGACTACATAAGAGAAAAAAGGGGGGAGCTCTTTCTGCTAGTTCTATTGCATTTTGTTTGTTATCAGGCAGTCTGAAAAGTTGAAATTGTTTAATTCCCAGTTAACTTGAGATTCTTTTTCTCGGTTCCCTTCCTCAGCTTAGTTTTCTCCATTATTTTCTTTTCAAACAAAGCAAAACTTACATTTTTTAGGTTAAGATTCTAAGGTCATTCTTCTTTCAATGCCAATTATGTAATGTGGAATAAAGAACTTTTGTCTTTAAGGCTATCAACTAACTGAGACCCTTTGTGTTGTGGAGAAATGTTGCATTTTGAAAGAAACAAATTATTTTTGTGAACTTCCTGCTCCCTGGCCAAGACAGACTTCCCATTAGTGTCCATTTAGGCCCCGATGGCTTGCAGGGTCATTCTACACCCTTCTGTCTGTAGCCATCAAATGATATATGCTGAGGGATCTGGGAGGGTTACACTGAAAAGAAATGAAAAGAAGCTTAATAATTCCATAAACATTTAGTGAGCACCTATTTGAGGTAGGTGTTGTGATTAGTTTCTGGAAATACAAATATGAAGACACAGCCCCTGCCGTCAATCTAATAATCAGATAAACACAATATGGTAAGATAAATCCTACTGAGGAGAAAAGTGCAAAGCATGTAATAACATTCCTTGCCTGGTGGTGATAGGGAAGGCTTCCGTGTGGTGGTATCATCAAAGCTAGATCTGAAAGGATCCATGGGAATTTGCAAAAAACAATAGGTAAGGCACTCTGGGTAGAAAGAATAACACGTGCTAAGACACATTTTTTTTTGGAAAAGTGCCCCAGAGAGTGAGAAATGTAGTATGCAGGAGCATGTGGTATGTTTGAGAGAATGGCTGGAGTTACAGCAGCGAAGTTAGATAGAGGCCGATTAAGACTAAGAAGGTTTGATTTTATTCCGTGTGAAGTAATACAGTGTGAAAGGCAGAGAAAATATAAGCTTGAGGAGATTTGTTTGCAGATGATCCGTTAAGTTCTGATCCAACAGAACTAAAATTTGGTAATTTACACAAGGTAACCTTCCATGATGCTTTTGGATTAAAGTGAATCATTTCATTGCATGTTTTCAGATTATCTGCAGTTATTACAGTGTGAAACATATTGATTGTAAGCTTTATAGACTTAGATGCAAAGCACATCATTCTCTTATTTTCCTTTAGGTTAGAAGAATAATTACAAGTTTGGATTGTTACAGTAACAGGGAAAAAGCTGAGGTGTTTTGAAGAAGTAGTAAGTTTTTTTTAAGGCAAAAACCTCACTCCATGATTTAATTCAGATTCTGTCTTTGATCAGGTGCCATTTCCTAATGGATACAGTGAAATTATACTTTAAGACAAAGGAAAGAGTGTGTTTTCTTTTAAACCATAGACAAATACTTATAAGGAGGTACAAATTACCAGTCTGAGAATTTTTTAAACTGGCCCTCTTTTCTCCCAGGACACATAGTGAATATGCAACACAGAGAATAAAATGAGTAAAAGACACTAAAATAGTTTTTACTAAGTACTGTAAATTGTTAGTAATTATCAGTAAGTGGGAAATGGACCAGCAGCCTTTCTTATTTATGAAAACTCTGAAGGTTGTAAAACAAACAAATAAAAAAATTGATTTTCTCATTAAAAGAAGGTGAAAAAATAATAATTTAAAAAGGTGAATTAACAGTTAACACTGAATCTCACATTATTCTAAGCCTATTAAAATAAACTTACAAGAATTATAGCTGTCACCCTTTATCTCCAGTTTTATTAGGCATAAAGGTATATGTCTAAATAGTATTCACTGAGTGCTTATTCTTGGGCATACTTGATGTTGTGGAGGGTTTTTCCAAGTA